TTCCTCATTACAGTCATGGACATCAAAATCAGGCACATAGCCAGGGGGAGGGGGTGAACCCGTGGTGCCCCGCCCTCTCCCCCCCCCCAAGAAAAAAATCTTCCTTTTTGCTGGGGCCTTCTCCCCTCCCTCTAATCCCCATACAGCATTTTGTCATGGGCGGGCCTCCCCCACCTCCCCCCCCCCCCCCCTTCGAATCAAAATTCTGGCTACTTGCCTGGTGACAACAGTATTTAAAATTACGTGAGGGACACCATATAGATCGGAGGCCAAATGCCTGTCAAGAATAAACCAAATATAGCAAAAAGTAAAGTATTCGTAGTATATCCAAGAGGCGCACCGCAGCACTGTGAGGAAATCTTGGACACGCTGCTCCACCCAACTGCAGATATCCCATGTGCCTATATGCCCCACCCCACTCCCTTGCCGCCTTTTCTCACCGATGTCAGTAAACAATTCGTTAGAAAGAGACATACCCGTTTTATTTATTTATTTTTTTTTTTGTTAAAGGCATATTCAATCATTGATGCTCCGATCCAATGCGTCACACAATTTTGTTCTCTCTCTGGAGTCGCGGGTACATCACACATATTGCGGTGTTCGCTCATCTGAGGTGCGCTCTCGTGTCGTGCGCTCAACTGGTCGTGCGCTCTCGTGTCGTGCGCTCAACTGGTCGTGCGCTCTCGTGTCGTGCACTCTAGTGTCAAGCGCTACTGTCGCAGCGCCCCCGTGTCACGCGCTCTAAAGGCGCTCTCCCGTGTGTGTGTGTGCACACTGAAGAACTGTAGTGTCAGATATCCTTAAAACATGTGTTGGCAATTACTTTGACCTTGATACACTTCATGTCGTCATCGTACGTGATTCGGCTTCCCAGTGTTTTCACCTTCCCAAATATTGCGGAAGCGAGCTCCACGTGAAGGCACTCGCGCACCCCATACATTTGTCCATAACAACGGCCCTAGCAACGGTTTGTTTTGGAGCAGAGCACCATGTTGTGACATCGTCACTTATGGGGTCGACAACCAGTCGGCCACATAATGGTGGCACATACAAAAAAAAAAAGAAACTACGCCGAGACAATACATATTAATCTATTGCAATCACACACAAAAAATAATGAATTAAAAAACATTCTACGACCTCTTTCTGAAAACTACAACACCGTAAAATCCTATACGGGTGCCCACCCAAAATGGAAAGATAAATAGTGAAAAATGTGAGGTGGGCTCTTTGGGGATGAGACAGCAAAACTTTGTCAAAACATAATTATAAGCACAGGGGCACCCGCTACAAACCACGTGACACAGCAACTGATACCGCAGATTGTGGATATGGCAAATTCGCGTCTCGCGGCGCAATGAACACACGGGAGTTTGCCACGAACACCTGTGTCGCGGGAAAGGACACTGCAAATTACGGATGCAGCAAATTCGCGTTTTGCAGTGCGATAAACACGCGGAAACCTGCTACAAGCGTGCGTGCCACGGAAATCAATATTGCAAACAAGAAACGCAGGAACCCGCTGCGAATTCACTTGTCACACGTACCAGCACAGCAAATTGCACGGTTCGTGCGATTCCAGTCGGACATTGCGGGATGTCCGATGGGGGGGAAGGGGGGGGCGATGTTTTAGGCGAGGGCGTTCGTACGGGATCTGATGGTACACTGAAAATACGTCAACATGATGCATCAGTTTACTTAAATTAAGCACATCTGCATTCTTATCAGTGGTGATAGTTTAGACTCAAGAGGCGGGTAAAATATCCACGAGCCTCTGAACGTACGAGCCGGCGCATGAAACTACAATGATGACATGATGACATGATGACTCCAAACCACAATCTAACACAACCTGGCTAATGGCGCACGCTTGCCAAGTGGATTCTTGTTCCCCTCGCAAGATGCAAGCAATCTCTACATTTCCCGCTTGTAGATCTGGAGTGAGTGGGGCGCTTGCCGAGCGGCTCCGACCGGTCCGTGGAAAAGTGGAAGAGCGCGTCAAGCGAGTTGTAGAAATTTTCTGCTTCGCCTCTTTTGGAGAAGTTTGATTCGTAATCACTCGCAACGTCTGTTTCAATACTTGCGTTAGTGGTGTTGTGGCAGCTATGAAAGCGATTGCGGGAGTAGCACTCAATGACAGAGAAACGTGGTGGCGTTACAAACCTCGTTACGAGCTGTTTGAACGTTAGCGAAGCGCTACAACATAGTGCCGAGGGTGCCGACGCTCCCGCCAAATGTGTAGGAAGTTCCTCTTACTGGGCGGCACGCTTAGTATTGTGCGGGAAGGGTTTGTTGATCAGTCGCCTTATTAGCTGAGGCTGTAAACATGAGCCGCGCCGCCCAGCACGACGAGTTTCACGATATACGTGGAGCTGGCGAGGCATCGGAGAGCGGCAGTGGTGGAGAGAACAGCCGAAATGGCGCCGTAGCAGCGGCGACGGTGACCGCGCAGCAGAGATGCCAGCTAGCAAGCGACTCCGTATGCTGGATTATTTGCACATGAGAGCCATTGCTCGGCTGCTCCGTCGACGAGACCGGATGCTCGGAGTCCCAAATCTGCGAGCACTGGCTATATGCCAAAGGAAGGGGCCATAAGCAGCCATGAACTACAGACACCTTTGTGAAAAGTTTTCGTTGGCTTATTCAATGGTTCTATTTATGGCCAAATAGCATTTTCTAACACCCCGTAGAAAGCCATTTTAGGAACCCGCACTTCTATGTCTGCCCTCTCCCCCAGGCACCTCCTCCCCCGCAACGTGTCCCCCTGTCGTGACTGGTATCACCTGGACCCCCGACACTGGGAGGGCCCTCCAAGAGACCCCTGGGGATCCCCGCAGACGGGGCAGCAGGGGTCCTGGCCCGGGAGGGACAACCAGCACTGGGACGGACCTCCCAGGCACCCCTGGGGGTCGCAAGAGGACAACAGGCAGCTGTGGGGGGACTGGAGAGGGGGGGACCGCTGGGAGCGTGGGGGCCGTGGCTGGCGGCGCGTTCCGTGGAACGACAGACGGACGTGGGCCCCGTTTCGAGGTCCCCCTTTTCAGCAGGACAGCAGGTTGGTTGGGTTCCGGTAGGGCAGTGTAGTGTAGGGTAGGATAGAATAGGGTAGAATATGGAAGACTGGGGAATGGTAGAATAGGGTAAGGTAGGGTAGGGTAGACCTTGGGATGGAGGGGGGCAGTTTACTTTTTTGTGGCAATTCTGCAACTACCGTAAAATACCAGGCAAGCGCCCACTGAAACTTGTGAGATAATCGCAAAAAATGGGGGATGGGCGCTTGTCCGGTCATGAATTTGATATATAAATGTACCGTACGTATTTCCTCAGATCTCACAAATTTGGTAATGGGCGCTTAATGTGGAATGGGCGGATGCGCGGTATTCTATGGTAGTTTGATCTAGCAACATTGGCAGACATGTAGTTAGAAGGTGAGCAAGGTTAGCAGACAAGTCGCGGTTAGCAGAGGAGGCAAGATTAGCAGACAAGTGAATGATAGGAGACGTCAACACACCTGTTGACCGTGCACGACAGGCTCCCTTCCATTAATTATCTCAAAATGTACCCCTCTTTGGGGCGGCAAGGGGCACTCCTCGCAGGGCCCCCCGCTTCCCCCGCAGGGGTCACTGGAGGGACAACGGCCAGGCCCCGCCCCAGAGGCCCCACCGGGGCCACCGGCCGGCCCCCCAGGACGACGGCTACCCGAGCGCTCTGCCTCCACTCCCCCAGGGCTCCGCCCACTCCTGGTCCCAGCTCAAGGGGGGCCTGGCAGGGGCACAGCGGACGCGCGCCCTGCTCGGAGGGGAAGGGGCCCTCCTGTGGAGGGGCCCCATCAAGCCCCTGGTGTTGCCCTCGCGGGACCTCTCCCTTGGTGAGTGGGGCTCTTGCAATAGCTTCGATTGGAGACTCCAGCAAAACGGACGGCACCTAGCAATAAAATACCTGACCGCCCGGAACAGGTTCATGACTTAAAATAAACAATCTGCTCGTCACTCGTGGCTTCTGTGATTGCCCGTCGTCGGCGACCGGCGCATAAGCGAAGTTTCATCGGTCGTGTCTCAATCAAACAAAAGGGCAGCAAGGACACCTTCTCATTAGGGCCAACGGTTTTCCCGGCAACGTCGTCATTACCGTCAGATCGGCACATTGCCCAAGTCGCTCGGAACACGCCTAGGCGACGGTGTGAACCAGACATTCCGCGTTTTTCGATGTTCATCAATGCAGTAAAAGGACAGTAGGCAGCCTTTCGTCGCTTTTCTGGAAAAGGTTGAGCCTCTGGAAGCTCGCTCGTGCCAAAACGTTGCCGCAGGCTCAGAATGTAACGACATCTGTGCAGTTTGATTCTCTCCAGTTGTCATCTTTTGTGAAACGGTTGATACCATTTGTCCATTTTGTTCGTAACACTGTTTGTTCACCGTACTGTGATTGCGGTGTTCTCAAAATTTCAGCTGGTTTAGCTCTCTCCTTCACCAGGAATTTGATTATGCACCGGTGCCTCTGCGGCTACGGACACCTTGATTGCCGCTATGACAGCCGGAACTGCTGCGCGTGCGCCAGATATGTTGAGCTGGGTGCTGGATGTTTGTGATTGATTACAATTTAATTTGACACCCTCCACAAGTTTTATCGTGCTATACTTGTTTCGCAATTTTTTTATGGATGAAAGTCCTGGTCAGTCTTGTACGACCCTCATAAATGTTGATCAAGGGTTAGTGTTTCATGGGGTTGCACAAGGCAAGGCATGGACATTGACTTTCCAGGAGAGAGTGAAGCAGGTAGCTAATCATTGTGTTGTTTGCGGTACTGGCCTTCAATGCAAAGGTTGCACCAATGGTGATTTGTCACTTTCATTTTTACACCTCTTTATCTATGTGCAATGGTTGCAATGATAGCCAAATGTGTGTCCTTTAGAAGGAGCCAAGCAATAATTGACTTTGAGCGAATCTTTTTTTTCTTCTTCGCTGTTCACAGTGATTGGCTGTCATTTTCTGTTTGGCGTGATTGCCGTTCTTTGCGACCATAACCGATCATTGCAAAATGAGCATATCAACAATTGGTTTTGGTGGCATGATTGTTAATATTGCTACTCACAGCAATTGGCTTCCGTGGCAGTTGGTTCGAAATATTGGCTATCGCCGTATTCAATTGCACCGGCTCTAGTGACATACTGTATTTTCCGGACTATAAGGGCTCCCTTGTATAAGTTGCACATTCATATATTTTGCCGTTTTCATGAAAAAGTTGGTATATAAGTCGCACTTTTGTATAAGTCGCATATCTTTTCACGGTTTACGTGATGCCGTTTGTTGTTTACGCGCATTGGTATTCCGAAATCTGAGTTTCGCACAATCGGCTACATCGCTCATACCGTTTGACGTGCTACTTTGACGTTTCGATTCGCGAGAAATGCCCATAGTTTGGTCTGTCTGGCGGGGGCAATTGGCTGTTTCGCAGCAAAAGAACGTAAAACATGCAAAATGAGAGGGTAGTCTACTTTATTCGAGTGAATGCATGCCGAGCAAACGAAAGTTTAACGAGCTAGGCAGTGGCGAACCTAGCTTTGGAGCACTAGGCCTTGCCTAGGCCAAGTCCTGAAGACGACGCAAGCATCAATGTGCAGGTAGAAAGATAAACCTTAACATACTTTCTTTTTGGTACCTTTAAAACAGTGGCTAGCCACAATTTTTCCTTTTACGTGTAGCAATACGGCTGAAGCATGGCACAAAACAACTGCTTATCAAACGGAAACTAAAAGCCCGTTCACACTCTTGCGACCTCTTAAACCTGGGTTCCTTAAAACTTCTTAAACCAGAGAACACACTGGCGCCGTCTATTGGGAAGCAGTGTAAACTCGGCGGTACGGCATATTTTGTTTCATTTCTCGCGCATTATCCTTTCTTTATTGGCTCGAAAAACTTTTGTTAATGTTATAAACGAGCTTTTCTATGGGTATTACACAGATTTGACCTCGGAAATCCCGCAAAACCATCGCTTTGTGAAATGCAGTTCCAGGGTCACCGCATAGATGGCGCCACAATGCCCAGTGTGTTCCCTCATTCTAAAAACATTTAAGAAGTTTTAAGAGATCTCGTCTCTCTCAGTCGTACTCGGTCGCAAGAGTGTGAACGGGCCTTAAGAAAGACATGAAAAAAATATTCTGTAGTGCGTGTATACCAGCACACTTACTTTTCAGTGTTACTGGACTGAAGCAAAAGAATACGGAACCATGGCTGAACTAGGCTACATCAATAACATGCTGTAAAAGCTTTATTCTCACTGTCTCGCTTATCCACATTGAGCCGCTCTGGCAATACCATAAAACATCTCGCATTCTGAGTCAGAATAGTGCGACGACAGCAGTGCCTCGGGGGGGGGGGGAAACACCACCTATGGCTACATGGTTACAATGCCCTACAAAAAATGGCGTGCTGCGTATAAAGAAAAGATGGCGTTGCATCTGGGAAAAAAGAAATCTTAGTTGCACTGACGTATGAAACGCACAAAGAAAAATGGTTGAAAAAAAACGCAACTTATACACCGGAAAATATGGTTATTTGTTACCTCTTTGGGACCAGTTTCGGTGCACGGGTGAGATAGGACACTAAATTAACCAATGAAAGACCCATTCGAGTGTGCTTAGATTTCGGAATGCTTCCAACTGCCTGATTGAGGTCACACATTCTATGGACCGCGTTTGCAATACGAGCTAGGAGGAGCTCGTGAATGCATTGACCGTCTACAAGCATAACAGTCTCCGCCCACTTTCCTCATCGTCATGCAACTACACAACACATGCTCACTTGCAACCTATCTGTGCACGTCTGCTATTAAATTGAAAATGCTCTGTATTGTTTCAGTTACTCCCTCTCTTAAATCTAAGCTTTTTAACACGTTCTAGGCACCATGGCACCGAAGTAAAACGGGTCTTTTGAAAATTTTGCGGTGCCACCGCCGTCATCCTTTCCGTCCAGGCGGCATTGTGTCCCAGCTGTCGCTGGTGCAAGAGGTGGACCTGGTCAAGTCCTGCCGGCACCTGAGGGTGCCGCAGGCGAGGACGCTCGACGTGTACCTCGCGGCGGTGGGCTTCCGCAAGACCTGCCCCGGACTGCCCGAATACAGGGTGGCCATGGTCAGGTGGGTGTGTTTACCGTCCCGGTCAGGCCGTGTGAGAGCGACAACATCCGATTTTAGTCCTTGGCGAGAGCGAGAGCCCTCTCGGCCACCCACCAGACGTGATGCCGCAGCTTTCTGGTGGGCAAGGGTCGTCAACCTATGAGAAAATTCCCGGCGCATTCATGAGGCCACGATGAGGTGATGTTTGCGTGAGTGTCATTTCGAAACGCTCTGTGTTTTGAAGCGGCCGTTGTCCAGAATTCTGGTGGACAGAAAGTATAAGGCTCTTTATCTTAATTGATCAAACTAAAATTGAAAAGTGTAAAAAAGTTTTAAGCGTGTCTGGATCATCTCTGATAAACTTGGAGATGCACAGAAGGCTATGTGAGTGAGCTGGGCACATTCTGTGTGCATGTGTGCGACGTAACTCCGCGACATCACGCGGCGCAGTGCTGTCGCATGGTGTCGTGGGACGTCAGGGCGTCACGTAACAGCCTGGCATCGAGGTCATGCAAGCATTACAGTTCCTCTGGGGCTCTTTTGCTTATGTGACTTTTACCCGTGCGTCAGTCAAGTGTATTGTGTCACTTTTCTCGGCAAACCCAGCCCTATAACACATTCTGCATTAAAAAGAAGAAAAAAAGTTAAAGAAATAAAGTGACTAAGGGAAAGCCTGAGGATTGATCAGTTAAGGTAAATACAGCACGCAGAAAGATGAAGAGGGAGAGAAGAACGTGAGATGAGTGCTCGTCCCTTGCTCTTCTCTCCGTCTTTGTCTTGCTGTGTGCCGTATTCACCCTAACTAGTTCCGACGATTGACCTCGCTCCTTCGCTGCAGGTGGGACGAAGGGGTGCCCACGCTGCGCGACCTGGTGCGCAGCTCGCTGGGAGACGGGGTGCCCCTGGTGTTCGCCAGCGTGGACACATCGGGCCAGGTGCAGCTCTTCGCCCTCGAGCCCCTGGTGGCCCCACACTTTGCGCCGGGGCCCTGACAGGTGGGGACGGCCAAGGGGGACGTCTTCTTTTGCATGCACCCTACATTCGGTTGTTTACTTAAATTGCGTATCGTGGACAAAGGAAAGACAACTGTGTGAACACATTTTGTCGATCTCTCAACATTACTGAATGGCAATGGTAAAGTAGTGATTTGAGCTAGTTGGTGCTTCAACATGATAAAACAGCACACATAACACTGAGGAAGAGAAAAGGACAGGTAAAACGAAAGAGCGCCGACTCCCAAGCAATTTATTTTGATAGAGGAGAAAAAAGAACCCGAGAGATATTCGAGGCTTATCAAATTCAGAAAACGGGACAGCATTGTGTGAGCCAGGGATGGGCAAAATACATGCAAATATGTATTGAAATACAAATACAAAATACTTCGTCAAAAATGTATTTAATTACAAATCTAATTACATTTCCAAAAAAGCATTTAAGTACAAGATACAAATACAACCCAATGTATTGGTCTCCTCCAAATACTCTTCCAAATACATTCCTCAAAATTTGCGTCAGCGACTTCAGGGCACCTGCAACGGGTTTCTGGGTATCTCATTTTAATTTTGCATCGCACACTCGGGAGTTGGTGTGCCGGGCTCTAGTAACGTAATAAAAATATAATCACAAAAAAAAAAATGTAATCAGCTTGGACGTAATAAGTGAAAAAAGTACAGAGCTTCAAGCAGCTATTTTTGTCGATTACATTTTGGTATAGACCAACAAAGAACCGAGACGACCAAGACGCGCAGCACCAGCTAGAGAATTTTTTATTTTTGAAACTCGCACCAGTTGCGAAAATCTGGACGACCGACGCATTTAGAATGTTCCAGGCAAAAATATGGATGGAAATCTGGCTGGAAAGGATCACAAGTTGTCACAGGCACTTATTCAGCCAGTCTGCCTGTGAACGTCCATTTCGTCACTATTCTTGCCCATGACTAGCACCGTAATCACAAAGTCACTAAATGCTTGGGCTTGACTGAGAGACACTGCATTCGGTGCAGAACGTAGTTTTCTTCCTGCTCTGGACAGTGACAATAAATTTGAGGTATGTATTTTCGCCCACAAAACTGTATTTAATTACTATTGTATTTGAAATACCCACGTTTTAGTATTTAAATACACACGTCAAATACATTACCCAGTTTGTAATTAAATACAAATGCAAAATACACAAAGTATTTGAAATACGTATTTCAAATACTTGTATTTGAAATACTGCCCATCCCTGGTGTGAGCCATCCTTCTCTGTTGTGGAGTGCCAGAGAGGTGTCATTCTTAGCCAACGCCTACGGCCAGTGAATTAGGCTGATCGGAAGTGAAAAAGTTTTGTATTCTGTCTTTTCTGTTTTTCCTATTCTTTTCTTTTTTTGTTTCATGGGTGTGCTTTATAGTTTCTTCTTTCTTTTCCTTCCAAACTCAAATCAGTCCAATCTGTTTATAGTTTTTTCTTTTTCTTTTCCCTTTCCTTATTAACCATGATGTGGGGTCAATTTCTATGGCTCCTTTTTTTTCCTCTTCCAAAATAAATCAGTCAGGAGTCAGCATTCTTTCTTTTTACCTGCCTTTTCCCCTTCCTCAGTGTTCTGTGCACTGTTTTATCATGTTAAATGGCAGTGGGTCGTATGGATACGCCCAATCGAGTCGGAATCAAATGTGCTTTGTGGAGCTCTGCAGTCTGGACAGCGGGAGGTTGGTCTGCCGCAAAGGGACCACGAAATGCTTTTCCTCTGCTAACTACTGCATAGATATAATCACTGGTTGTCTCAAGGGAGGGCACTACCCAAAAGGGTCAACTTTGGAACCTTTGGCTTAATGTATATGAAAGTTACAATATATACTGCCAGTTCCAAGGCAGAATGCATCGCAAATTTTCATCTGTGTACATAAATTGTAAAATAAATTATAGTGTTTTTGTCAGGAACACACTGACGTAACATTTTTCTCCACTACTAGATATGCAGCGGAATGCCCAAAGAGTGTAGCTGTGAAAATAGAATTTCCAAAAAGTAATTTGTTTTATGCTAACATTGTGCTGAAAGATCAAATAAATTTCTTGCCTTTTATGTTGTCAACAAAATCTTAACATCTTTTGTAAAAGACATCCACAATTGATAAAAAGCAATGCCACAGCTGCATTGCCCATTAAATTCCACTTTAGAGAAACAATGAGTGAGCCTTTCCTTTTGTTCCATTACCAAACGACAGTTTTCCTAAAGCGAGATTTATGTCAAAAAGCGGAACGGAGAAGTGTGTGTTCAAAGTACTCGAACCTCTACAGTTTCTTTAGCATTGGTGTACAGAAAATTGTGTATAAAAAAAAATATCCATGGAGTGTAAGGTTAAACAAACGAAACTGTCAGGGAATACTCTCTAGATGTTGGTGGATGTAAATATAGCATTTTTCAATATCAACATTTTTTGCAAAATTTCTTTTTACTGGGTAGTATCCCCCCTTAATATATAGCATATTTTTGGGTCTATAAGTTGCACCCTCTATAAGTGGCTGTTTTCACAAAAAAGCCGGTATATACGTCTCACTTATATCTTTGTACGGTTGATGCGGCGAGACTGCATCGATGAGCCGCATATGTGTATAGAAATTGTGATATATGTGGAAGCAGTTTCAATATTTTTAACCAATAAATCAAATGATCCTATATATGTGGAAGCAGTTTCAATATTTTTGACCAATGAATCAAATGAAAAATATGACCCCATTGCACATTTGTGCAGTTACTTAAAGGGGCGGTGCAACAATTTTAAGATTAAAAGAATCTGCATCTCGTCATTTTTACATTATTTTTCGTGTCCCGGAGGATAGGGAAGACATCTCCTTCATTAAAAAATGTTGCGATTCCGCTGCATAATTGCAACGCAAAAGTTCAGTTTTTTCCCCCACCTGCAGCCGCGAGTGGCAGCCGAAGGAACTACGGCGAAAAGCTTACATGACCTCGCTCGGCTCTAAGCTGCAGCATGACACCCGCTGATGTCAGCAGAGAGGGGGAGAAGAGGTGTCCTCCGAGAGATCCCACGAGAACCTACACGGCTCCCCAAATTACGTCATTAGGAGTGTGACCAGGGCCCATTTGCTCGAAGCGCTAATCGCGGCTAAAGGTAGCCGCAGTACCTAGGAGAGGGATTTTGAAATCACGTGACTGGCTCTGTAGGGATGCAGAGAAGCATGGCGGTGCCCCAGTGAGTGAGCGCCGCTCGCTTTAAAACTAATTTGGCACTGTAGCTGCAATATCGGGCACGTTAGTCAGCAATGAATGGTGCAGGAGGCTTTCGCTTTGCCTTAGCTCACTTAAATCGCAAAGCATGAGCAATGACCTTGTTGCATTTTTTAGATAGTCTTTCGACTCTGGCTATTTCTAAGCCTAAATGAAGGCGATAATTGTCGGCATGGCAACGTCTTTGGAAAGCGGACTGCCTTGACTCGATCAGCCGGGTATTGATAGCACACAAAAGCAGACAATGCCCCCCCCCCCAAATGGCGGCGTGAGCGATTGAAAGTGTCGCTGTGGTCGGCCCACCACAATTGGTCGAATGCTGACTATGACGTCAACAAAGGATGTCTTATCTACGGAAATAAGAGGAATGTAAAAACTTCAATTTTGACGGTGTTGGCAGTGTTACTTTGAGACCGCTATGATTTCAGGCTTCCAGAATGCTCATTACAAACACCGTCAAGCTTGTTGTTCACAAGGTAATGACGTCACGAAAGGTAACCGAACGAGGGCGCTACCGAAACATCTCACCGCTAATAGACCTTTTTCTAAATTACCCAAGCATCGAGAAGAACGCTGGAAGTGTAATTCTATGGCCCGCACGCGCTGGCCTCCCTCTTATAAAAGATTCTAAGTAAATAATCATAAGTCTTTGATGAACGCACGTGCAAGGCAAGATTTATTTTAGACGTTTTGCTTTACAACAATTACTGTACTGCAGACGCCAGCACGTGTGGCGCGATCTGCTTTTGTGTGCTATTAATACCCGGCCGATTGAGTCAAGGCAATCCACTTTCCAAAGACGTTGCCATGCCAACAATTATCGCATTCATTTAGGCTTAGGAATAGTCAGAATCAAAAAGCTATCTAAAAAATGTGGCGAGGTCATTGCTCATGCTTTACGATTTAAGTAAGGTAAGCCAAAGCGAAAGCCTCCTGCACCATTCGTTGCTGACTAACGCGCCCGATATTGCAGCTACAACGACACATTAGTTTTAAAGCTAGCGGCGCTCACTCATCGGGGCACCGCCACGTTTCCCCGCATCCCTACGGAGCCAGTCACGTGATTTCAAAATCCCTCTCCTAGGTACTGCGGCTAACTTTAGCCGCGGTTAGTGTTTCGAGCAAACGGGCCCAGGTGTGACCCTGAAGACTGGGATTGAGTTGAGGGGCGCCAGAAATGCCAATTTTTATCTTTTTGTTTACACAACAACTAGGACACGCAGGCGAAATCGGTTTCCAGAAACGTTTGTTGGAAGTCCGGAAATCGTTGCAGCCTCCCTTTAAGGTTTCCACTTACAGAAAAAAAATGCACCTAACTGTCACCATCGCATAAAACCCACGGACGAAAAGTTTTGGAAAAAGATGCGAGTTATGTACTAGAAACTATGATACATAATGTGTCTTCCTTTTAAGACAAGCACACTTGAAGGAAACACTGCAGGAAATCGAGCAATGTACGAAAGTACCCAACCCTTGGCCAGAACAAACCATCGGGTGGAAATTCCGATGGCTCGTGCTGCCAATGTTTATCACAGCCACGCACCATTGTTTAGCAATGCTGAGCACAGAAAGTACTATGCTCTATCATTTCTGGTTTCTTACCTTCGTGTGCCAGTTTTCTTGTGTCCGACCATGTGATGGGTTTTTGGCAAAATTCGTACCGAAGTGTCCTTTTAAGATATTTTCTGGCGTCTCCAACAGGGTGGTGGTTTCATGAAACGCCTTTTCACTTCCGGCAAGCCACGTTCCACCATGTTAATGAACAGCGTATGCCACTTTCCTCATTAGTTTACATGCAGACGAGTTATTGGCGTCGTTTTTGATGTTGGTGAAACAACCGGAAGACATAAAAACGACCGGAATGTATAAAAGAAGAAATAAGCGAACAGGTAGAAAAGATTATTTTTCGCCCACAATGTGCGAAGAATCGAAAGCTGTACCACGCTCGCACAACATGGGTGGTAGGGTGCCGTCACATACCAGAGGACAGAACTGTGATGTGGTTAATTCTTATACACAAACTCATCTCTGTTACGTCATGGCGCGGTGGTGGCGCGTCGGACGCACTTCCGGTCCGGGTCTGTGGGCGGAAGTGCCCATGTGAGACGTATATTCCTGCATTCTTTTGAAAGGAACCAGACAAAAATCTGCCTTCTCTTCAAAATGCTGCGACTGGGGCTGTACCAAGAGAGTCGAGAAAGGTTTGAAGGTCAGTTTTCATGCGCTCGGTTCGTCCGAGAACCCGGATATGTGCCGTGAAAATGGAAAACCAGACGCCGTCGGACCACGATTGCTTGGGCGAAAAGCATTTTGGGTTGCATTTACGGATACTACTGGCCATCAAATTTATTTGTTTTGTTCCAAAATGATTGCCGGAAAACTTTCAAGTTGTACGGACCACCTGCAGACTACGTTCAGTGCGTCTTCAAGTTCAAACAGTCGCCTGATCGTTCAAACTGTCGTCTGCTCTTTCAAACGTCCCTGCTTGTCGTCTGCTCTTTTAGAGGACACCGGCCTGTAGACCAAACGTGGGCCCGGTACTTGCGATAAGAAGTAAATGCAGGCCTCAAAAGACTTAAGTTTGAAGGTTGGTAAGCAGGCTTGACGTAAACAGTAGATACAAGGAGATGTTGATCATTGTTACCAGTGGCCATCACCGACTTGTTGTGCCTGTTTCACTTGGTTAGATTCTGCTTGCGATTTTCAGTATCGACATCGACCATCTCAGCTACGGTTCACGCTTTTGCAGTCCGAGCGACATTGCTACTGAAAATTGCGAGCGAAATCTCATCATGTGAATCAGGCTTTAGCGTACGTTCTGCGGCGTCCACGCAGAATGAATCGCCGCATGTCAGATTATTCACGCGAAGTTTTGCGGTGTAACGAGCCTCATTAATTTTTCTGACGCCGCTCAAGTAGTCAGACATCGTTAGGAGGACGTAGAATCAACAATTCCAACGCGAAAAAGAGCGCGGGGACTCACACCGGCGCCGACAACATTGCATTTCAATGGTTTGTTTATGGGCGACGGCGAGCTTCTTGCCCACACCCCCATCATGCATGCGCGGCGCCGGTGGCGTCCGCTAGGGGCGCTCGGGGCACTCCGGTTTGTTTGTAAACACGAGTTGGTGTATAGCCGTCGTGGTTGGCATCACCAGTGCTCGGTGATTCGTGAAGTGGGTAAGCGCTGTGGAAGTTCTTAAAACCATCCAACATTACGTGTTGCAACTGGATACTGCCAAAGTGGGATTTCACATAACACGAGTAATGTTTGGAATCGAGTGTTTCAAGCAGACGTCATGAAAGACTCTACTTTCGTTGTGTCGTTATTGGCGGAACGACCGGGCTCCTTTCTCCTGTCTCCACGCTGCGTGGCCGACGAGAAAACGTTTTTCCCTGGCCTCGTGCCAAGAGCGGAAAGAAGAGTTTTTCCGTAGCGGCGACAACAACGGACGAGGTTGAAATCTCTGCAAAGTGTGGCCCGTAAAGCTATCGCTTTAAGAACGGACTGGAATGTATAAAATTTACTATTCCCGATCATTCGTTTTGCCGCAGTCCATCACGGTGCAATAAAACTTGACCGATCTGGAAACCAATGCCTCTGTGCATAGGAAGACGGGGATAAAGTCCATCAATATGGCGCCCAGCAAGGTTTTGAGCCAGAAGTATGTCACGTGAAACCTCCCTGTGGGCTCGTCCAATTTGCCCCTCCCGCCTACACCTGCGCTTGCCACGTCGTTTTGATTTACAAGTGCAGCCTATCCTGAACCAGATACTACCACAAGTGTACCAGTGTAGGTTGATCCAGGCAAAATGAAATGAGCATACTGTAGATTGGCAATGGGGAGCACAAGTTCGTCTGCTTCTTGCCCAAGGGTTGCAATGATGTCAGAACGCCGAGCTTTTATTGGCCGATCGGAAAAAAATTGCGGTGGCTTAGCTGTGCGCTACGACGTCCTCGCACGCACTCGTCTCCTCCCCTCCCTCAGTTTGTTTTATTGATGATTATGGCCAGACAGTTTATTTCTAGATACTAGTATACAGAATGGTCCAGGGGAGCACGCTTTGTGGCTAGGTCGAGATGGGTCGTTTGTTCACTCGTCTCTCTCGCACCTTGTTTGCAGGACACCCCCGTCGCCACATCTGCTGCACCGGCTGGCACTTTTACCCTCTGCGGACGTGCATCCATCGTTTGTTTTTAATTCAACTCATTAAAGAAGAAAGAAACGAACGTGGAGTTCTCTGATCAACAATGTACCGTGATTTCCGGGTACATTCTCATAGAAACCCATGTCATGGTTTTCTTCTTTTTTTTTTTTTCCGGATTCTGCAACGCGGCACAGACTCCTGTTTGTTTATTTGTCCTGCGCAGTAGATTTGGAGATTGCCTTTTTTTAGTGCAAACACAATCTATGCACCCTAGGAAACCCACAATTATAATTGTGCGTGACCCTTTTCCCTATTAAAATGTAACTAAACATTGCATTACACCCCTTTGTTGACATATATATTGGAAACACATTAGACTGAAGGGTGGGATTACAATGAAAGACAGTATACATATTAGTGTGAAGGGTGGGGTTGCCTTGCTCGCAACAGCGAATCGATGCGTGGCTCAGTCACGCTTAGGGCCAGCCTCATATCTGCTGCCGGGTTCAGTTGGTTCCTGTGCTTGCTTTTCAGGTAGGCTATTGCTGAGAATGCCTGTTCACAAGCATATGTAGTTGCAAAAAAAAAAAAGCATGTGCATGTAGGATGGGGGGGGAGGGAGAGAGGGGAAGAGGACTGACTTGGGTGCTTGCGGAACCCAAGCGAGCACTCCGTGGAACCCCTGTGTTCCGCGGAACCCAGTTTGAGAACCCACGCTCTAACTGACCAGTATCTGCAGCGAAATAATCAATTGTAGAATAATATGGAATGCCCCTTGTAAGAATGTTTGCCATCAGGGAAGGATAGAAACAAACTGCTATATTGCATTGTATAAGGAATGAGCAATACGCATTGTTCGGTGTACAGTCACACCTACGATCTGAGAAGTTGTCACGTAATGCCAGGCAACATGGAAACAACCATCAAAAACATGAGTACGAAGAAACAAAATATTGTGACCACCTAAACAGTAGAAAGAGAGCGACGTCTCCAGGCAAGTGTCATATAAATTCATGATTACGAATATGCCAGTGCAGGCAAGGAAGGTGAAAACACTACAAGTATGTTAGTTCCAAATTCTCAACACCTTTCGTGAATGCAGTCCTAGAGCCATTACACTGTATCAAAAAGGAGTTACAATGTCAATTCATAGCAAAACCTGCTGGGCAGTGCAGATATTCAACTAGCCATATCCCAATCAGGAGCAGAAAGCACCGCGGTGCACAAATGCAATCGGCAAACTGCTAAAAAGAGGTCTTGGCAAGCTACAGGGCATTAAAATAAAAATCTTGTACCGAAGTTACTTCACACTTACTTCAGTACTAAATTCTACAACAGAAGAAAGAAACAACAGTGTGGGAAATGAAACCACCAACCTTTTATTAATTTTTTAAACAGCAGAACTGAATTCTGGTCATTTACATTCTGCAGGTTTGTACCTTCCACATACCGTAAAATACCAAGGAACCCCACTGTCACTGAAAACTGGGTTAACCTAGACATCAGCATTTGTCTGGCCAACTTGGGCGCTTAACCGAGTTTTCAGAATTCCCAAGTTTAGAAAATGGTAACAGTGGGCGCTTGAACGAAATGGGCACTTCTGTGGTAAAGAAAACAGACATTTTTACAAACATAATAAACCATGCCTCAAAGGAGCACACCTTGAGCGAATGGAAAGGAACACTGAACAAGAGCTAAAGCACGATTCAATGTACGTTCAGGCACAGAACACAGAGTAGCTTCTCCGAAAAACATTAAACAATGTCTCCTATTCATTGACCCAGCCTCTAATAACAGCTGGCAAGGAGTCATTTCCTACTCCCCAATACATTTGTGAAATGACAAACAGTGGCGTTCGGACGAGAGGCTCAAGAGCAAGGCCACATAGTCTGGCTCTGTGAGCAGAGTCTATGTGGCCAAACAAACTGGAGCTTTGATCGAAGCTTCTCGGATATTGTTGGAATTAGAAAGGCCTACTTGCTGCCAGTCTTTACGCAACTGCCCTCATGGTTTGTCAACTTTGTGTGTTAGCATGAGCCTGATAAGGCAAGACCATTGAGAAAATGACCCGGGATGCTGCTGGAATTTTGAAGCTTATTGTGCATAAGCGCTCCACTGTGGCGAGCTTAACTATTAATCCGAGCAAAGGCTTTGGGACCTGTCTTGCGCTCAGGTATAGGTATGTATACAGTAAAACCTCGTTATAACAAAATGGGATATAACAAACAAATGGATATAACAAAGCAATCATAATTCCCCTTGCTTGAATAGTTGGAAGAAATGGACATTGGCTATAACAAACTAATGGTTATAACAAAGTAATTACGACCGCTCCTTCAACTTCTTTATAACGAGGTTTTACTGTACTTCTATTAAAATGGCAAAGTTCTGCATGAGTTAAAGGGACCATCAAACAATTTTGAAATCGAATTTTATCCACCGCACGTCGTAAGAGGTGTGAAAAGAAAACCGAGACACAAAACTAAAGCCAAAATATTTCGCCGTAGAACTTTTAAAAGAAAAGCAGACTCTTTTACATCTTTCCTTCGAAAGCTCTCTGCCTTTTCACTGCGATTTATCCGCAGTGCCAAAGCACGTCGGCCAAATTTATGTCGCTTATTGGATAAGAGCCTACCTCACCAGCACCGCGATCATAGGCAATAAATGGCCAACGAATGTGTCTCAAGGCCTGTTCACACTCTTGCAACCGAGTACGACCGACAGAGACGAGACCGGTTTTTAAGCCTTTTGCGACTTCTTAGGACCGGATGCGATGCAGCGGAGCTGGTCCTAAGAGATCGCAAGAGGCTTAAAAACCGGTCTGGTCTCTCTCTGTCGAAGTCGGTCGCAAGAGTGTGAACGGGCCTTTAAACGTTTTGTTAAAGAATATTCTGATCCACATTTTGTAGAAAAATTAGCGATGTGACAATGGTTGCCGAATTTTTTAATGCCCGGAGCTATGTGCCATCTATCGTGTGGTAAATGAAGCAAGAGAAATATAAGGCTGTGCTTTCGCTATTTCGCGGTTCCTGCTCTCTGCTGAAAAACATTGCGTCGGTGGTGATCGTTGACGTGGTTGGCATGGTGGAAGCTCATTGTTCCGCGTAGAGCGCTATCCTCGACTGAACTCTCGTTGTGTTTCACGATGATAACCCAGCACTTCCTAGGAGAGAGGATCCATCTGCTCGTGCGGCGATTTTGTGGCGGCACCCTCAAGAGAGCAGAAATCTCGTGCGGTCGTGTTTGTTCACTTCGACTACAGGGGTGCTTTCTTAGCATCTGTGTCCTCAAACATCACCCGGATTTCTTATTTTGCGCATTCCATGCATGTGCTCAAGTTCAAGGTAGGACTGGTGCATACTGTATTTAAAGGCGTGTATAAAGTTTGCAAATTTTGACGCGTTTTCATCACACGAGAAAAGTGATTAGTACTCGCAACGTCTATGTGATCATGAAATCATATTTCTACATTGCTATATCTCTTGTAAGATCCCATCATCTTTTGAAATCATACGAAAGGTGTGTGGCGAGATTCATACTATCGGTAAAGTCGTGATCGTTCAAGATGGCATACTGCAACTTTTAGAGCGCAGCTCTTGGGCACCCGTTTGTGGGTTTTGCGGCGTCACCGCGTCAAATTTACCGGGAAAATTGATGTCACGTGACCTCAACATCAATTCAATTCCCCGCTAAATTTAGCGGGGAAAATGAAGTCACATGACTTGGTGTCACGTCACCTATGAACAAATTCAGTTTCTCCGCTAGATTTATCGGGAAAATTGACGTCGCGTGACCTCAACAGCAATTCAATTCCTTGATAAATTTAGCATGAAAACTGACGTCACGTTACCTCAACACCAATTCAGTTTCCCTGCTTAATTTAGCGGGGAAATAGACATCACATGACATGGTGTCACGTCACCTATGAACAAATTCAGTTTCTCCGCTAGATTTAGCGGCAAAATCGATGTCACATGTGGAGGAGGGGAAGGCAAAAAGAAGGATGAGGGAAGGAGGAGGATGGAAGGGGAAGGAAAGGAGGGGAGGTCAAGGAGCAGAGGACAGGAGGAGGAGAGGACACGAAGGAAGAGACGGCACACCCTCCTTTCCATACCCTCCCTCCTTGTCCTTAAGAGCTGCACTCTAATTTCCCGTTAGGAATTTGTAAACGTATAAATATTTTCTTTTTTTTTTTGTCCACTCTATCCTGCCAGCCTGTCCTGACAAAATAAAAGTTCATAAATCTTGAGCCCATAGAAAACTTTGTACATTTTCTGCTACGCCAGGAGTGGCAGCGTGTCACCTTCTTTTTAGAGATACGGTGGAAACGGCTGACAGCGGTGGAGAAGCGGCCGTCGCGCTGACGACCTGCTGGGCTTGTTGCAGTGGTTGCAGGAGTGTGTATGTGCAGCACAGAGTGGTTGTTCCAGTCGCTCCAGTCACAACAAACGCAATCATACCTGACGTGCTCGTCGTAAGTGCCCGAATTACAGTTTGGGCAGTCCGAAGTTTAAAAAGAAACGGCTGCAGTTTCACTTTTGCCACTCTTTTGGACCGCACTTGCCAAGAGGCGTAGCGGCGTATGAGACCAGTGCCATGCTGTTGCTGTCACACAACATATCTAACTGAATTTCGCTCAGCTGTGACGTGTCCATGGCTATCGCGGTGACGAGAGGCGCCGATTCAGCATATATGTTGGTGGCATTGGCACCATCAGCGCAGTAAAGCCCTGTGGTAAACCTAGGGGCACACCGCCAGCTCACCGCTAACGCTCCCATTCTCCTACTGACGAGAGAACTTTCGTTCCGGTACCAGAGCATGTCACAACCGTCAACATTATGCCGCAGCTTGTTTTTGCGGTGAGTTGGAGAGGAGAAAAACTATATTTTAATAATTTTCCTTGCAGAAGTTAATAAACAGAAATGAAGACGGGTGCCTGTTCGGTCTTCAGTGAACATTGAAGGTTGAATGTAAAAGCTATTTAGTAAAAGTAAAAAAAGTGAAAGCCGTTTACAACTCCCTGTAACACCGAATTAGAGCGCAGCTCTTTAGGAGGAGGAGGGAAGGGTACTGGGGGGTGGTGAAGTGACCTGGGGGGTCACGTGACCTTGGGGGTCAGGTGACGATGCCGATGATGTCATCAGTGACGTCACTGATGACGTCATCAGTGACGATGACGATGCGAACTCCAATGACGTCATCAGCGATGATGACGACGATACGGATGTCGGTGACGTCATCAGTGACGTCACTGATGACGTCATCCGTGACGATGACGATGCGGATGCCGGTGACGTCATCAGTGACGTCACTGATGACGTCATCAGTGATGATGACGATGCGGATGCCGGTGAGGTCATCAGTGACGTCACTGATGACGTCATCAGTGATGATGACGATGCGAATGCCGGTGACGTCATGAGTGACGATGACATGATCGGGGAGGTCACGTGACCTCGGCGGGGGGTCACGTGACCCTGGGGGTGGTCACGTGACCCTGGGGGTGGTCACGTGGCCTCGGGGGGTATCACGTCACTTCGGGGGGGGGGGGTCACGTGACTTCGGGGGGGAGGGGGGGAGGTCACGTGACCTCGGGGGGTCATGTGACTTTGGGTGTCACATGGGAGGGGTCACGTGAACTTGGGGTGACCTTGGGGGTCACGCGACCTTGGGATGACCTTGGGGGCCACGTGACCTTGGAGTGACCTTGGTTACGCCGACGGCGACGCCGCTCAAGCCGGGAACGGGACCCTAAGAGCTGCGCTCTAAAACAATTTCATGGTCCCATTAAATGATTACACACATCTAGGGTAGGCTCAACTTACGAGTCAACTACAATGCAATCTGCAAGTGTGCATCCGGTTCTGGCAGATGAACTTCTATTCTGAGCAAAGGTTTTGGGGCATTGTTTGCACTTGCTAGGTTTCTAAACACTGTGTGTTAGATAATGGTGGAACAGACTGATCTTATAAAAGGTTTAAAGGCCCTGCTTGCATTTAAATTGCTTTTCACTTGTGTGCGTTCGATTATGGCTTCACAGATTGGAATCTCGAGCAAAGGCATGGGGGCCCTGCTTGCACTTAAATTGCTTTTCACCACTGTGTGTTTGAATATGGCGGTTCAAAGTGAAATTCTTAGCAAACGCTTGGGGGCACTGCTTGCACTTAAATGGCTTTTCACCAGTGTGCATTCGATTATGGCTTCGTAAATTTGAATTGTTAGCAAAGGCTTGGGGGCACAGCTTGCACTTAAATGGCTTTTCACCTGTGTGCACTCGATAATGGCTTTTTAAATTGGAATGTTGAACAAAGGTTTGGGGGCACATCTTGCACTTAAATGGCTTTTCTCCACTGTGAATTCGATTATGGCTTCGCAGATGGGAATCTTGAGCAAAGGCCTGAGGGCACTGCTTGCACTTAAATGGCTTTTCACCACTGTGAATTCGATTATGGCTTCACAGATTGGAATCTCGAGCAAAGGCCTGGGGGCCCTGCTTGCACTTAAATTGCTTTTCACCACTGTGTGTTTGAATATGGCGGTTCAAAGTGAAATTCTTAGCAAACGCTTGGGGGCACTGCTTGCACTTAAATGGCTTTTCACCAGTGTGCATTCGATTATGGCTTCGTAAATTCGAATGGTTAGCAAAGGCTTGGGGGCACAGCTTGCACTTAAATGGCTTTTCACCTGTGTGCACTCGATAATGGCTTTTTAAATTGGAATGTTGAACAAAGGTTTGGGGGCACATCTTGCACTTAAATGGCTTTTCACCACTGTGAATTCGATTATGGCTTCGCAGATGGGAATCTTGAGCAAAGGCCTGAGGGCACTGCTTGCACTGAAATGGCTTTTCACCACTGTGTGTTCGATTATGGCGGATCAAATGGTGATTATGAGAAAATGCTTGGGGGCACTGCTTGCACTTAAATGGCTTTTCACCAGTGTGTGTTAGATTATGACTTCGTAAACTGCATTGTTGAGAAAAGGTTTTGTGGCACAGCTTGCACTCAAATGGCTTTTCACCAGTGTGTGTTCGATTATGACAGCTCAGAAGGGAATTACAAGTAAACGCTCGGGGGCAAAGCTTGCACTTAAATGGCTTATCGCTCTTGTGCTTTCGACTGTTGCCAAGCACTTGGGACTTGGAGCCAGACATGGGAGGATGCTGGCACTTGAATTGTTCATCTCCATGGGCAACCAGGTGGCTCACTATTACATGCTGATCTCTGGTGATATAGGTGCAGGAACAGCATCGAAACGAGATGTCCTCGGTGGCTTTCAGAGGGCAGCTGGTCTCCCCCAACAATGTGGCTCCATCACCTAGAAGAAAAGACTGTGTATTACGACACACAAGAAAAGCCCAGTTTATTATGTTGCAGTTTAATATGTTGATGCGATTTGGAATTTGGTTCAGGGAAGCCCTCAAATGCAACTGACACAATTAAAGAGAGTCCTAGTCTCGAAAAGTTAAAATCCTATAAAATAAATTTTATACATTATTTTATCTTCATCTCTAAATCACACTTTATATAACTTCTCCCCTTGGAAAGCTTCCGTTTTCCAAGATTTTCGATTAATTAAAAAAAGAAATGTTTTTACCCCAGAACCTTTGGGTTTAGAATCTGGATTTGAATACTTTTTACAGGCTGGACACCTCATTATTCAGAATGCAACAAAAACATTTCTGGAAACTTAAATATTATGTTCCCTTAATGGCAATGACTGTTCGACTATGGCGGGTCATATAGAAAGTCCAAGTTATTGGTAAAAGAATTTAAACATGTGACACAGTCATGTTTCACTAATATGGATGCAATTCAGCCATGTGAATATAAAGACCTGTGGTCCAGGCCATGGACAACCAGTTATGGAAATAAACTGGGTAAATAGATGCAGGTTTATGACGTTAATATGGACACAAGATTGTCCATTAATAAGAGATTAGTTGCGACCTTGGGTTATAGAGTTCACCAAGAGTTTCACAACTGTCTGCTGTTGTGCTTCCTTAGAAAGGCATAAAACCTAAGCACCAAACAACGGTTAAATTTATTGGGGCTTTCCAACCACATGCATTTTCCCCGAGTCACCCGTTTTCTCAGGCGTGCCCCAGGGCACAATCCTTGGGCCGCTTTTGTTTTTAATTTTTATTAATGATTTAAAGATACAACACCCCGACGTACAAAGTCGATTCTTTGCTGACGATTGTGTTTTATTTGCTAAGGTAAACAACCCGTCTGATCAAGAATTAACTTATTGTCTATCTTTGGTTCATGCAGGGTGCATAAAATGGAATATGGTTCTGAACTGTAAAAAGTGTGTTCAATTGACCGTGACGCGGAAGAACAACCCTTTGGTTTTTACATATTCTATCAATGGAGTACCGCTCGAGACTGTTAAACAATATCCATACCTCGGAGTTTTAATTACCTCTGATCTGTCATGGGGTGCACATATTGAGTTTATAGCTCGTAAAGCAATGCGGAAGCTCTGGTTTTTGAAACGAAATATTAACCTCTATTCACCTAAAACGAAACTGACTGCTTATAAGGCCATCATAAGACCAATGCTAGAATATGCATGTATTGTATGGGTCCCTCATACAAAGGTGTCAATCGATATGTTAGAGACTGTGCAAAAAAAAGCATTGCGGTTTGTGTACAACCGTTATGGTTTTATGTCATCCGTTTCAGATTTGTATCCAAGATCGGGATTGAGTGATTTAGACCCACAGAAAAACAGAACGGCTGAAGTTTCTTTATAATATGATACAAGGTAATTTGCGACTGCATCTCTGTGATTACACTTCGTTTAACGAAACAAGGCCCACGAGAGGCTAACACCAATTAACACTTGTCGAACCATTGTGTCGAACCACTTTGTTTAAAGCATCCTTTTTTCCTAGAACCACGTGTGAGTGGAATAAGCTTCCTGAAAGTGTTGTAAATTTGAGATCAATAGATACTTTTAGTGAAGTCCTACTCGCACTTTGTTTAGTGGCTCTGTCTGTTTGTTTGTACTACTTCCGCTTGTTCTTGAATATTGTTTTTGTACACCTCCTGCCTGGGCGTTCTACAGAATGCTGGCAGTATCACCAAATAAAATAAATAAATAAATAAATAACCTGCCCTTCTTACATTACAATGTTCTTCAGGTTTGTCATCTGTGGCCGCTTTTCTACCTTGCCTGGCCTCTTCGCCTATGCACACTTAAAGGTAGCCACGTTTTGTTGGGATATCAGTCTGGTAACCGTGGGCACACCTTGGCAAGGCAATAAATGAAAAGGGAGCATGCTGCTGCTTCAGGTTAGGATGGGAGTCATAAAGGGGCACTGACACCCCAATGGTCATATTTGTTTTTGTTATCAAAAATGAGGAAAGTTGTAGTCATAGACACTCAAAAAATACCAGAATGTGAAAAAAACTTTTATTGCGTTTACGCACGCTTTTTATTTTTGCCGTTCTCCTCTCCCGCTCACATCTTTTATTTGTGACATAATCAATTAAAAAATTTTAAAGCTTTGCAAGCAACATTTCTACAATATTTAATAACGGCATTCGAAAAACATGCTTTTAATGCAATTGCGAATGCAGTATGGCCTTTCTTTTTGAAATACCGAAAATCAGAGTTTGGAGTTCTGTCGTCTCCTGGCTTTTTATCCTCCCTCCGAAAACATGGCGGCGCTCGACGCATCTACCACAGAGGATGATTGGTGAGTCAGGAAATCGGACGAAATCCTTTTTTTTTAAACACCCGGCGACCTCTTAGACTTCGAAAAGAAAATTGTCAAATGGTAAAAAAAAACTGGGTTTGGTGTCTGTGTACCACAGTTTCGGTTGTGACTCCACTAGGTCAGCCTTTCACTTAGAACTGGTGCGATGTGGCCCCTTACATTCCTCACAAAAGTCCACTGGGTATTCTCTTTGACCTCGCACCATTTCAAAGAATTTAATATCACTGAAAGAGCCCTAAACGAACTTGAAACTCGAAAGTGAAGCGTCGTCTGCTCACAGCGATAGGCGCCATGCTTGGAGCAGTTGATCGCGGGACGTGAGCGAACATGAAAGGGAGGCGAGAGAGAAACTCGAGTTGCAAGACTTTGCTGTCACTGCACTGGCACAGATCGTGCAGGAACTTCAAATTCAGCTTTTTTGAAAATTGTTTCTTTACTTCACAAATACTGAGTTCCCAAGTTTCGAATTTCGAGGGTAATGTAAAGGCATTGTTTTCAATCATTTCGGATAAAAAAAAAAGATTTTGACCTGCAAAGCCTCTTTAGGAATAAACACATACAGGGCACCAAACCCATACAGGGCTAAATTTGAGCATACAGATAAAATGTGCACTATATTTAAAGAAAGGGGAAACAACTGAACTTGCGATCCTAAAATGTAAGGAGCTCGGTGCTGCCCTTGCCAAAGGGGCGACAGTTGTATACGGAGGCCCTGGGTTTTTGCTGAAGATGGAAGGTGGATTACAGTAGACGCAAAAAAGAGGAGGTTTGAGGGCTAATGGAAATTATCTAGGGAAACTGAATGAAGCACAACTAAGTCGCACAGCTGGGGGACAAGAGAAAGACTGGGACTCCTCTCGCGGCTCTTGCTCAAGGTCTCAACCCTGTAGCCCAGTGGGTCTTGTGTTAGGGTGACGCCGGCAGAAAATTGGCGACTCCCTCGATAGAGAAAAGAGGGAAGGGATGTGGATTTTTAGTTTTTCTGCCCGGTACTTTAAAAAACACTGACACCCCCATATTTTTTTTATTTTTTGTTTGGTATTTTATATTGGAGTCAGGAGGCCACCCAATCAATATTTTGTGACAGTCACATATATCTTTAATAAAGCCAGGAAACTCAACTGCTCGAAACCGAAACACGAGCACGGAAGCTTATGGCCGGAAATCACTTGCTTACACCCGCCGGCATTTTTCTTTTTAGAGCATGAAGAGCTTTTAACGCTACCCTTAATCCCAAATTATTGTTTGTCCATCCGTTTGTCTGTCCGTCCGTCCATTTCTCGCTAAATTTAGCGGGGAAATCAATATCACGAGATATACATGAATTCAGTTTTTCAGCCAAATTTATCGGGAAAATTGATGTCACGTGACCTGACATCACGAGACAAACAGACCATTAATACGGAAGCTTGGGCAAGTTGGTGATTCATCTTGAGGTTACAGCACACATGACAAGTACAAAACAAGAGATGCACAAAGAGACAAATACGGGTGCTTCTGTTTGTCGTTTTGTGTATCTCTCGTTTTGTCCTTGTCTTGTGCGCTGTAACCTCAAGACATGCAGACCAATTCAGTTTCTCCGCCAAATATAGCAAAATATTTGACATCACGTGATCTACCGTATTTACTCTCATAATGAACGCACCCCCCTAACGGGCAACAATATTTGAACTTTTGTTTTCCCTTACTTAATAAACGCACCTCCAAGTTTTGGCTCCACGATTCTCGAACTGCGTCCAACTTAGCTAGCCACCATGCCCACCAAGCCAATTTCTTTTGCTGTCAAGCGGCCAGGCGAAGTCAAGCCAAGCCGCTTTCGTAATGGATGGAAGTGTGCAGTTGCGGAAGTGATCAACCGTGAAACTGAGCAGAGCGCCAGACATGGCTTCATCGGATGCATTGATGTTATCAAACACGCCGTCATCTCTGGTCCACTCTCAAGCAGTGAAATCGTGAAAGTGGTTAGGCCTAAGAACGGCCACATCTTGCTTCATGCTAAGTGAGCTTTGCGAGGCACTTTTCCTTTGGCGAAAGGCATGCCAAAAGCACCCTAAAAAAGGTTTGCAATTTATAGAGCACGGCTACTGTGGCATGCCCATGACCACTTGGGGACGCGTCTCCATGAGTGGAGACGTGCCACAGTACCCTCCCGTGTCACATAGGCAGCTAAAATGACAGTTGTGGAAATTGTGAAAACGCAAAACTTTTACGCTACCTCCCAATATGTGTCAGGGTGATTTCAGATAAGATCGACCAAAGGGTGGCTGGTCGACATTTTTAAATCAACTGATGTTTTTATATGTTATTGTCTAGTGTCTGGTATGAACGAATCCACACTTAGTTTTGACCAGAAAAAAAATTTGGAGACAAGAAAAATCGTAAGGCAGGGAGAGGTGGACAGTTGCAATAACGCGCACTGATGGAGGGGGCAAGTTTGAAAGTGAATAATTAAAACAATAAAATTAGGACAATTTTAAAACTTTTTACAAACAAACTATGGGTGTAACTTGCTTGTAATATAAAGTAATAATATTTATTAAAACTTTATTTAGTTTTCTAAAAATTGCCAAACATGCCTGCTCGAACGACA